ACCTAAGGAGCTAATAAGTCTAATATAAATTCTAAAAACATAAATAATCTAACACTAATGTACACTAAGTACAAAGACAGGGTAAGCTGCAGGTAGGTCTCACAGAAGCCTAACGGCCTTAACTCAGTCACTGAAATCCTATGGTACAAATATTACCCATTGTGTGTTTGAACAGGGAAAACATGGATACATTAGCTCATTTATCTGTGTTTTAAAGAAACAAAACTATCACAGAAACCTCATGAACTTCTGTGAAGCTTTCCATTCTAGTTGTCTGGAACATCTTTTGTATATAAGAATGATGGCACCCAGTCAGCATGGCTCAGTGGTTGAGCACTGACCTATGAACCAGGAGGTCACGGTTCAATTCCCAGTCAGGGCACATGCCTGGGGTTGCCAGCTCGATCCCCAGTGAGGGGTGTGCAGGATGCAGCCAATCAATGATTCTCTCTCATCAGTGATGGTTCTATCTCTCTCTCTCTCCCTCTCTCTTCCTCTCTGAAATCAATAAAAATATATTTAAAGAAAAAGAATGATGGTACTTGAGCACCTCAGCTTTTGTTATATGCTCTACTTGTTATGTACTGTACTAGAATAAAGAATTGAGATGTAACCTACATAATTTTATTAACCAACTAGTGGCCCATTGCACGAAGATTCGTGCAATAGGCCTTCCTTCCCCTGGCTGCCGGCACCGGTTTTTCTCCAGCACCCAGGACCCAGGCCTTTGGTCCAGCCGCAGCAGCGAGGCTTGGCTCCCCGCTGCAGCCGCAGCAGCAAGCTTGGTTTCTCCGCTCCGGCTGCTCCCAGCCCCTCCTTTTTTTTTTTTTCCACCTCCTTGAGCGGAGCCCAGGGCGGGCTGGAAGTCTGGGTCGCCCCTGGTGCCCCAGGCCCCCAGCCACTCCTTGAGCAGAGTCCAGGGCCAGCAGGAAGCTTGGCTTCCTCCATTGCCAGGAGCAACCCAAGCTTCCTGCTCGCTCCAGCTCCGTGGCTGCTGCCATCTTCAATCGTCTTCAGTCGTCACTCTGTGCCTGCGTATGCAAATTAACCGCCATCTTTGTTGGGTTAATTTGCATAGTCGCTGATTGGCTGGTGTGTGTAGCAGAGTGATGGTTAATTTGCATGTTTCTCTTTTATTATATAGGATGTTACCCTGATAAATTTAATTAAGAATTGATGTAGTTTTAAAATGTTTACTAATCGCCCTAGCTGGTTTGGCTAAGTGCCCTGGTTGGCAAATTGTGGCTCATGAGCCACATGCGGCTCTTTGGCCCCTTGAGTGTGGCTCTTCCACAAAATACCATGTGCAGGCGCGCAAGTACAGTGCGATTGAAACTTCATGGCCCATGCACAGAAGTCGGTATTTTGTGGAAGAGCCACACTCAAGGGGCCAAAGAGCCGCATGTGGCTCATGAGCCACAATTTGCCAACCAGGGCACTTAGCCAAACCAGCTAGGGCGATTAGTAAACATTTTAAAACTACATCAATTCTTAATTAAATTTATCAGGGTAACATCCTATATAATAAAAGAGAAACATGCAAAGGGGGGCTTGGAGGCAACCGATCAATAATTCTCTCTCATCATTGATGTTTCTCTCTCTCTCTCCCTCTTCCTTTCTCTGTGAAATCAATAAAAATATATATTAAAAAAATAAAATGTTTACTAATCATCTAACAATGCTACTGCACGCACACACACATATATATACACATGCACTACACATACATATATAAATATATATATATATTAATATATGTACACACATATCCTATTTAACTTAAATCTGTTCTCTTGTCCAGCCTCTAACACAGAATGAATTTCTATGGAAAATGCTCCTGAACAACAGCAGCAATTCTTAATCCTGGATGCATCTTAGAATTACCTCAAGAGCTTTAACCATGATCAAAGGCCCAGTCCTACATTTCTGAGCTAATTGAAACCAATGCTGAGAACTGCTGGGTAGGTAAATCCCACAAGTATTACATGAACTTGGGAAACAAAGAAAACACTGTTTAAATATTTCTGGGTTTAAAGCAGTATCATGCTATGCATCACAGCCTAAATTAGAAATCCTCTTAACCTGACCTAGTCTCTTAAACTATCCTGAACCTACAAAACAAGAATTGGTGGTCTTCCAAATGTTTTTTTAAAAGAGAGTGATGACCAAATTTAGATTTCTTTCATGTGAAAGAACACACAATGCTATTCTATTTTTCTGGGGCAAAATCCTCCTAAGTGTGTGTGTGTGTGTCTGTGTGTGCGTGTGTTTCCCTACTATAGTAACAGTATACAGCCTGGCTCTAAGAAATGTGAATCTTTCTTCTGTTTGTATTTTTAATCCATTATTTAAAACATAAAGCCTCACCCTGGTGCATGGGTCATCCCATGCACCTAAAGATTGCTGGTTCCGATTCCCCCTCAGGGCACAAACCAGGCTTGAGGGTTCTATCCCCAGTAGGGGGCTTGCAGGAGGCAGCAGATCCACGTTACCCTGTAACATAGATGTCTTTCTCCCTCCCCTCCCTCTCTCTAAAAATCAATAAAAATATTTTTTAAAATAATAAATAAAACATAAATCCTCTACCCGATATTAGTTCACAGCATAAAGGAGAAATTATTGACAAATGTTTTGCCTGTCATATTAGTATAACTGGGGCGATGGGGGCTAGCCCTTGGGAGTGGGAATCACAGTGGGGGGGGGTGTCAATCGGGGAAAAAGAAAAATGTAAAACTTTAGACAATATATATATATATTAAATAAATAGATAAAAATGTTTTTGCCTGTCAACACAGTATAGGACTGGGTAATGGCTTTCTTTTTTAAACTCATTCACTCACTCATTTCTTTAAAATACAATACTTATTAACTTTCTCATATGCTAGACACTTCTTTCAGGTGCTTGTGACTAGAGCAGTGATCAAGACATACCTTTTAACATCCTTTAGATGCCTTTAAATGCATAAATTTAAAAATAAAGTATTCATGTAGTTCAAAAAAATCTAAAGAGTAGGTTAAGATAATGGAAGTCTAAAATAATAACACTAGAAATGTCATCTGGAACTTCTAATTTAATGAGCACCTATTATAAACAATATGTTGCATTGGTCTCTTTATATGTGGTACTCATTTAATACAGTTGCTGTCCTAAGGAAATTAAATCACTACTTAGAAGAAATTTTAAAAGGCCAAACATTCTTTTAATGGAGTTTAAATTTGGCTTTCCACACTGGAGGAAATACTCCATCCTAAAGTTGACAAGAATTAATTATGGCAAAGTTGTATCAATTCATTCATACAAGAATTTTTTCCAGATTACTTCAACCACATCAACTGTGAGAATTTTGGGTTAAAAAAAGAAAAATCAAGTTGTCATAAAAATATATTTCAAATTTCTTAAAGTTGAAAATTATGTAAACTCTAAGTACGATGCATAAACTGCCCATCTGTAGATATTAAGCCATGTAGCTTATTGATAAAAACGTACTAATGAAGATATTATAAAAACAACAGTAAAATAAACTTTACTAGGTACAGTGATCAGTTTTTTAACTTCCTTTACAAAAACTAGTCCAGACCAAAAGTCACTCAGATCAATCAGGAATTCATAGAACTGTAATTTGGCCCCAAGCAAAAACGGACAACTTAATACAAAACTTTCTAACAATACTCTAAAGAAATTTTTTTAAACATTCGGGTGGAGTTAGACTCCAATCCCTCAACCGCCTCGGGGGGAGAGGGGATAGAAGAAGGCCCCTTGGTTTTGTTTTTAATTTTTAAAGGAAATGCTGGTGGGGGACAGCCAAGTGGAGTCAATTATGTAGTAAGTTTTCTGGGAGCTAACACAGGCCAACCCTGTTCTCCAATTCTAGGTAGAGACTAATCCCAAAAGCGTAGTCAATCCTCAGTTTTGCCAAACGTGTCCACTCCCTTCACCTTTTTAAAAAGTGAACAGCTTGGTTGTGGCCCAGACCAGACCGCCCCCGCCCGCGGGACCCGAGCCCGCTGGTGGCC